AACTCATGCATGCTTAAAATTAAATGAGCAACCAAATAACCAAAATTAAAAGCATTAAGCTTAGAGGTTACCCATTCCTTTTTCATGTGTGGCTAGAGCATCTTGAATATCATCATCTTCATCACCATTGCTCACACACCTACAAGAGACATTCATTTCGATTTTGGTATCCAAATTTCTTTGGATCCTTGGACGTTAGTTTCAATGCCCCTTGTTCCTTTCAGAACCCATACTTGTCTAATTTTAAAATGTTTTCCTTTCTTCAAAGGACAAATATGTTCCAAATGACCATGAAAATGGCAATGTGAGCATTTTTCCATTTTTACACATAATATGTTATTTTTAGAAATTAATTCTTTTTCTTTTGTTAAGCCTTCAAGCTTAACTTCTAACTCAAAATTTTTCTTTTCTAAATCATTTATTTTGATTTTTGAAAGCTCTAAATCATTTTTCAAAATTTGATTTTGATTTTCAAAATCAACTTTTGCTTTCAAAAGTAAATTATCTTTAATTTTGAGTTTTGAAATTAATTTCGTATATTTGGAATTCATGGTCTCAAATCCCAAATAAGCATCTTGTAACTCATCAAAAGTAAATGAATTAAATTCATTTGAGTTAGAAGATACCTCAACTTCTTCATGAGTGGCCATGAGGCATAGGTTGACTACTTCATCTTCATCATTGGAATCATCTTCATCACTCCAAGATGCAACAAATGTCTTCTTCCCCTTTTTCTTTAGAAGAGGACATTCATACATGACATGCCCCTTTCTTTGACAATCGAAACATACCGGGGGACTCTTCTTCTTGGTTGATTCATGTTTCACTTCCTTGGAAATCATGAATCTCTTGAGTTCCTTCAAGAGCTTGACCATTTCTTCTTTTTGTTCATCATCGTCTTCATCAACCTCATCACTTGAATCTTGATAGCTTTCATTGATGCCTACATCCTCATTCTTCTTCTTCTTCTTCTTCTTGTTTTTCTTCTCTTCCCTTTCTTCATCTTCTTTCACCATCATCTCATGAGTGAGAAGGGAACCAATTAGCTCGTCGAGAGTGAGAGACTTTAGGTTTCTTGCTTCGATAATGGCCGTCTTCTTTGATTGCCACTCATTTGGAAGAGAGTAAATCATCTTCCTCACAAGCTTCTCATTTGGGATTACTTCTCCATATCCCTTGAGACCGTTGACAATCATAGAAAATCTATCCGTCATAGCTTTGATGTCTTCATCGGGTTTCATCTTGAAGTTCTCGTAGCTATGGTTGAGAAGACTTTTCTTTAATTCCCTCACTTCGTCGGTTCCTTCATGAGTGACTTGGAGCTTATCCCAAATTTCTTTGGCACTGGAACAAGATGAGACTCTTCCATATTCATTTGGGCCTAAAGCACAAAATAGAATATGTATAGCCTTAGAATTAAGCTGAAAATTTTTCTGCTCTTCTCTACTCCAATCGTTGTACTTGCCGGGTAGAAAGGAGTAACCGTCCATGATTGAGTACCAAGCTCTTAGATTGTATGATTGAATGAAGTACATCATCTTATTCTTCCAATGTGCATAATTTGCTCCATTGAAGAAAGGTGGTTTGTTGACCGGTTGTGAATCCATAATAGGATATTCTTCAAGATAATAAGCACCGGAGGTGGAAGCCATCTTCTCGGTTGTGTCGGGAATTGGTAGAGCTTCTTCGAGGATCGTCTCAAGGTGGTTAAACCTTCTTAATGAGTTAGGCTCTGATACCAATTGTTGGGATTTTCGGAAGCTCGAATCGACAGCCGGAACGGTTTGCAAAGAGGGGTCGGAACGGTTTTGTGTTTAGGGAGTAAGGAGATTGAAAGATAGAAAATTGCACAGCGATTTAGAGTGGTTCGACTTTCTCAATAAAAGTCTACGTCCACTACCTTAGCTCCTCACCAAGGATTTTCCAACAAATTCACTAATTTGTTCTTTCTTTTGATGATAAAGAGTAACCTTACAAACTCCCTAGTTTTTCCGGGCTAAACTAGAACCTTTCCCTAGCTTTTACACGGGCTAAGCTAGAACCTTTCCCCTTTACAAAAGGATAAGAATGTAAACAAAAAAAACCTCTCTAAGGTAGGTGTTTACAAGATTGAGCTCTCAAGAACAAAATATTTACAAGAGAAAGATGAAATAAGATTGAAAAACTATTCTCTTGTGTTTGATTGATTGGATAATTGTTCTCTTACTTCTTCAAGTGTCCTTAGGTTGTATTTATAGCTTGGAATGTGTTTGAAGTCATATCTAGCCGTTGGGGATGTTTTGGAACCGTTTGGGAATGATTTTTCTGCAAAAATAGGCTGCCCAGAATGGGGGGAATCGGTACCCCTTCATAGGGAATCGATACCCCTTCATAATATTCAAATATTATGACCGTTGGGCTGATGAACAGTAAGGGAATCGGTACCCCCTTGGGGGGAATCGGTTCCCCTTTTACATACTTGAATTTTTGAGCCTCGGGTTACTGTTCAAACAGTGATTTACTGTTCAAATAGTTATTTACTGTTCAAATAGTAAATTACTATTCGTAAAAACATTTTTGTGCTCAATTTTAAATTAAAAGAACTTTGAATTATTTTTGTAAATTTTGAATAAATTCAATTAAGTCCAAAAAACATTTTGTAAATTCAATTCAAGTCCAAAAACCATTTTGTGCATTCAATTCAAGTCCAAAAACCATTTTGCCTTAAATTGTTATATCGAAACATAGTTCAACAGTTACATCCAAGGGAGATAAGAAGTTTTGGACGGGGTGCTATGTACATGTGTAATAGTGAGAAAATAGAGCCTAGAGGTGGTCAGCTTTGTAGATGACAACAACAACAATAAAACCCTATTCCCATATGCAATTGGGTAAGGGGATGTAGGGTAGTAGGCTGCCCCCAATGCCAGGTTGAGAGCAGCTTCCGTGGAAGACCTCCGGCAGTCAGAAAATTAAAAATAAAGATAAAATACAATGCATGTATAAATAAATAAATAAATAAATACATAATTGAACAATCTTCAAATGCGCGTCTGAATGGGAAGTAATCACTGCGTAAAAATCTCTGCATATAGACAGAAACGTAAGACCCGACTAAATTTAAAAGGAGGAAACATGAAGTGAAGGATACACAGAAGTCAGCGATAACAAGCTACGAGAAGTAATATAGTCAAATGGGTTAAAACCTAAACTAAGGCAACACTACTCCGCTACCCTAGTTCTAAGCCTTCATAAATTCCAATGACAGAAACGTATAAAAAGTAGAAGTCATGGAAATTACTACAAAGGTATTAAAAAGAAAACATAAATGTTACACCCTATGGCTGTGACCCACACTACTCAGCTACCCTGGTCTTAAGTCTCCATACTTTCCTATCAGAGGTCATGTCCTCGGTAAGGGCTAAATCCTTCAAATCAAATCTCAAGCAGTCTACCCACTTCCTCCTTGGTCGTCCTCTCCTTCTGGCACCGTCGACTATAATCGACTCTACCCTCCTAACCGTATCCGGCGGTTGTCACCTAAGGACATGCCCAAACCACCGTAGTCTTCCCTCCCTCAATTTTTCGGATAAATGCACCACCCCCAAGGACATCCTAATTGCAGAGTTTGGTGTCATGTCCCACAGAGTCCTACCACATGCCCATCGAAGCATTCTCATTTCTGCGGCCTTTATCCTCCTTACGTGATCCTTCTTGATTGCCCAATATTCTGATCCATACAACAGCGCTGGTCTTATTGCCATTCTATAAAATTTTCCCTTTAGTTTTAGAGGCACCTTCTTGTCACACAAAACTCCAGTAGCAGCCCTCCACTTTAGTCATTCCGCCTTTATACGGTGTGTAACGTCATCATCTACACCCCCATCTTTATGTATCATAGACCCTAGGAAGGTGCAGCTCGTTCATGCTATGTGGATTGAAATCTATGACGATTTATTTTGCAAAGGCAGGTGTAAAAAGATATGAATGTCCATTGCTCGATGGATGCTTCAGGTGCGAGAGCCAAGCTCTCGTATAAATCCATGTGCTTCAACCTTCAATCTTAGGTCCATACTTCTAAATCTTATACAGACATTTTCATATTTTATGATTATTTACATTATATGAATTAAATTTGAGTAATTTAAAATAAATATTCAGAGATTGAATTGTATTTTATTGAGATCAAAGTAGTGGACCTCCTCTGTTAATCACAGTAGGAAAAAAAACAGAAAATACATAATTTATTAATATCATCATTTTCATTCTTCAGTCGTCATGAAAAATCAATATCTGATTAATTCATCATCCACAATCCCTCCACGTCTATCCGTCGCAGTGGCATAGGAAGAGCATTCCCTGTGGCATCGTTTGACGCATTGAAAGAACCATTCCGAACTGCAATGGAACAAGCAGGAACCGAAGCATAATACATTTAACTTCGCACTTGCCGGCTCTGCGGCTAACAAAAGCACTAGCAGCAGCACCGCCATTGCAACCGTCGAGTTGCAGCTCATTCCTTTGACTCTGCTCGACTCCATGTCTGTAATTTCTTAATGCTGCTACGAATTTTAATTGTTCAGATAAACTAGACTGCATATATATAGTAACTGACAAATTGTCTGACATGGAAAGAGTGAATTTTCTTACCATTCAAATCAAAAAAAATTAATTCATTACCAAATAATTTTAAGAGTAAATTACTATATATACCATTAGATTTAGACCAAATATCTGTCTATTTAATTATAACATTGATCTTTAAAATATAAATAACGTAATAATATAAACGAATCTTTATCATAACATATAATATGATCAAAACAATAGTTTCTTGATGTGACTGTTAAAATCTGACGATCACGAATCAGAGATCCATATTCAAGAATAGTATCTTGAAAAAAAAAGGTAATTTACATTTCGATCATTGAGTAGTTCAAATCTGCAGGAAGTGTGCATTCTCAATGCTGAAATCAATTTCACAAAACCATAGCATCAACTTTAATGAGTCGGTCTCTCCGGTCCGAGGAATGGCAAGAAGTTCCAGAGAACGTTTCAGAGGTTTCAAAGACTGAAAGGACACTCATAGTCAGAACCGGTTGTATACGTTGAAGAAGTATAGGAAGGAGAGAGCTTTGCAGCCTCTATGAAGAAAACCCAAAATAACCCAGTTCCCAGTCCATTCGAGACGGATAAATTGTTGGATTAGTATAGTATGTAAGACGATGTTTCAGCAAATTTGCTGACAGCTCTACATCATCTTGCATATTTGAAGAAGCTAACTCTGCCACTTGAATTTTGTTTTCTTTTAACTTCTAGGGACCCTGAACATGCAAAACAAACAGAATCGAGCATAAAAACCAACACAAAAACGAAAACGGCTTCGGATACATTCCCAATAAGAATTATGAACTAAAACTCGGCCACAAGCATTAAACCCGCAGGCACAAAAGCAGTAAAGTGGAATGAACCTTTGGTCGCTAACAAATGGATGGATCGATGTCAACTGTTAGCGACTGTTATGAAGGGGAGGAGTGGACACCGAAATGTCAAATATCGACTGGTTGATCTAAGAGAGCGTATAAAAGCATAAACAGTTTGTGCAGGTACAGAACAGCATCAGTCACTCGTTTCCTTGTCAAGCATATCTTCAGTAAATACTATGTTCTTAAGATCGGCTAATTAATGCAAGTCATACTAAGTAGCAGTTTGTGATAATTCGTATTCGATATATTTTGGCAAATTTGTTGGACTAAACGTGGTTTTCTTGATTCGATAATTAAAGTTAGTTTCGAACAAAATGATCTGTCAGTTATCCAACGATGGAATCATCATACAAGTTCAAGAGCAATATGACTGATGTCATTATCATACCTAAAGATCAGGACTCCGTCAGAAAGTAGGACTAAGATCTTCATCAACCTTGCCAACTGGCTCGAGTATTGATGAGTAGGTGATGATATCGTATTCAAAACCTCTAGCTTTCATCTCCTTCATTAACTTCGCAGCCTCTTCAAACATACCAGCTCGACTGAGAGAGCCAAGAACAGTACTATACGATACCACATCCGGTTTAATCTTTGAATTCTTCATCTTTGTAAGCATTTCGATTGCCCGGTTTGGGCCACCTGTCCTAGCTAAGCCATTTAGAATGATGTTATGAGAATTCAAGTCCGGGACGCAACTGTTTTCTTCCATAGTTCTCAGTAAGGATTGAGCTTCATCTATCATGCCTGCTCTTACCATCCCCGACATGAGTGCATTGTAAGTATAAACATCAGGATTGCATCCCAGCTTCTTCATCTCATTGAATAGATCAACAGCCTTACTCAGATTACCGCACTTTCCGAAAAGTTTTATCATCACGGCATAAAGCCGAGCACTTGAACTTCCACAATTCTCTTTCAATTCCTGAAATAACTCATTTGCAGCTTCATATCGTTTTGCCTTTCCTAGACTGTTGATCAGGCTACAATATGCAGCCGGACAAGGAGGAAAACCTTTTTCATCCATCTCTTCAAGGAGTAACAAAGCTTTCTCGACTCTGCTTGCCTTGCAGAGGCCATCAATAAGGATGGAATACGAATATGAACTGGGAACAACACCATCGGACTTCATCTTCTCAAACCACGAAGATGCCTCGGAAATCGGGGCTTTGTAGTCAAATAAAGCTTTAATTACAGTGTTATATGTTACAACATTTGGTACACATTGCCAAGACTTCATTTCATTAAAAACCTTAAGAGCATCTTCTAGTCGACCCACTTTGCCCAAAATGTTAATCATGTTGTTAATAAGCACAACATCAGGCCTACCACCTTCTTTTAACATGCTCATGAATATTCCATAGGCATCTTCTACCCTTCCGGCTTTTCCGAGCCCCTTTATCAACTCTGTGTAAGTGAACAGTAGGGCTACAGCCATTTCCTGTCATCTCCTGCACTAGACACAAAGCTGCCTCGGTCTTATCTAGCTTAAAATAGATTTCAATTAAGGTTGTATATATCTTTGGTGTAGGCTGCAATCCACTCTCCTTCATTTCCTGAAACAATCTAATGGCGGAATCATAACGGCCTAACTTACCGAAAGTGGACATAAGCGCACTGTATGTTACTGTGTCCGGTAAACAGTTACCCTCATTACACATCTCATTATAGAGCTCGTGAACTTTTTCGTGGTGCCCTTCTTGCATCAACATCAGGATTATAGCATTGTAAGTACTAGCTGTCGGCTGGCACTTGCGGCTTTTAATCTGATAAAACACGGAGAGAGCCTTGTTCACCATTTTACCCTTGCCTAATATTCTCACAATCTCGGACAATTCAGCGGGACTGATAACACATGTGCTCCGAACCATGTCTTGGATGGTTTTCCACATTTCGCCAATAAGTCCCGCTTCATCTAAACAATGAATCAAAGCCAAGTATGTCGTAGAGTCATTTTCAAAATTCTTTCTTTTCCCGGCCCACTTGAAGAACTGGATCTTAACATTAATCTCTACATCTATAGCCAAAACCTCACAAACCAACCGTTGGTCCACCTTCAACTTTAGCACTTCCAATGCCTTCTCTGCATCAGGCCCCCACTTAAATATTTTCAAAATTCTAATAAATCTCTTGTCCAATGTCCGAGCATAAGGGTTCTTCTTCGGTAAATTCCGCTTAAAAGCCAAGTCTGGCACTTCGTTCTCGAGACTAGGCAATCGGAACATTTGTACTATCTCATTATCTGTTCATCAAAATTAGTTTCACACATTTCATCAAATGAAACCATCAAACACATAAAAGATAGATTTAATCAGCAGAAAAGGGTTCTGGGAAGCTGACCTGTTTGCTTGATTCTTTGGCAGAGGTGAGACAAAGTCGATATCGATCGCCGCCTCAAAGCAAACCCCATTAGCATTATTTACTGCGAACAATGTATGTGAAAACGGTGCAGGTGAAAAAAACTACAGCAGAAAACATGTGAACATTAATGCATATAATAACCAACAGATAGGAAATCATAGCTAAAAATCGAAACTTTTAACATTACTCAGCATACAAGGAGCAGAAAGAAAATCATAACCACAATTTCCACTAATTAATTTAAACAAGCTAACATGGATTATGGATTTTGGGGAAAATATAAAAAAGAAAAGAGAAAGACCCAGAAATTATTAAAATTTGTTACATTTTATAGCTTGGGTTTGGAAAGGAACCTTGAAGAGACGGAACAGAGAAGAAGCTGGAGAGAAACGGAGAGGAACAGCGGCTTCAGTCGTCAGTTCTCACTGGAGAAGGGCCAAGTGCGGTGGGGTTGAAAAATTGGAAAATCATGGGATTGTTGGTGTTGGGTTGGGCTATTTTATCGTTTTAATTTGTGGGTTTTAAAGTAATCGAATGACAATCCATTATGTTTTTATCTACACAAATAAGTCGAGTAGGGTTTCAAGCTACACCGTTGAGGTTGATGAGTCGAGCCAAGCAATTTCATAGGAACAATAAGGTTATTGAAGGTTACATTGTCGTTGAAGATAAAGGGTGCTTGGTTCTTGGATGGAAATGTAAGCCCATTGAAGGTTACACTGCTGTTGAAGAAAAAAGGTGCACGTAACTTGTTTGTTTAAATTCCTCAATATTTTTTGTTAGCGTGAATGAGATGATTACTGTAAACCAGTTTGGGATTTAAGAAATTTGTTGCAGATCAACAAAAAACATGAGGTTAGAGAGAGAAGAAAAGAACGACTGAAGAGGGGAGCGAGGAATGGTGTACGGCGAAAGTGTGTGGGGGGAGAAAGCTGAGGTTACGGCAAGAAGAAAAAGGGCAAATTTAAAAGTTGTCCCAAAACTTCTCTGGATTTACTATAAACGAACCGAACAAACATGAATGAGGTATGTTCTGTTAGGAAATAAACGAGTAATTTTCCTAAAACGAGTAATTTTCCTAAAACTATATTAGTGAGAATGCGAAATAAAAGCAAAAAATGATACCCGAAATTGATAACAGAGTTCAACCAATTATGTCTACGTCTTCGGACTGCTGCATATCTTTTACTAAAGAGAGAAAATTTACAGGTGTTTACAAAACACTTACAACTCACAAGAATACTCTCTAAACTCTTTAGTATTAGGAGAAAAAAATGATTTTGGATGATTTTGAAGCTAAATGGGTTATGATATTTATAGTTGAAGCTTAAGGACTAAACTTATAAATACCCTAAAGTGTGAAGGGGCTAAAATATAATTTCTCCATTACCATTTTCAACAAAATTAATTGCACCGAATTCGGCGCCCCCCATTCTTGATTTTTAACGCCTCTCAATTTTAACTTTTCCAACAATCTCCTACTTGAAGACTGATTTTAATCTGTTTTCACACATCGATCAATGCAGCAGCATTTCTGGTCTTGTTACTCTAGCATGCCAACTGAAGCTGGACACAACTTCAGTTTGTCTGTAGTCACCGTCTTTGTTAATATGTATATCGGATTTTGAGCTCCACTAATCTTTTCAAGTTTCAAAATCTTATCTTCTAGAAGAGACCGGATAAAATGATATCGCAATTGCATGTGTTTCGTCATGGAATGAAAAGACGGATTCTTCGCTAGATGGATAACACTTTGACTGTTTCAATACAAGACATTGTTTTCTTGTTCTTTGCCTAACTTTTTCAAGAAACTTTGGAGCCAAATCATCTCCTTGCTGGCTTTCGTAACAACGACATATTCTGCTTCAGTTGTGCAGAGAGAAACTATCTTCTGTAGTTGAGAAACCCAACTCACTGCAGTACCTCCTAGAGTATAGACATACCCTGTAGTGTTTCTTTTGATGTCAACATTTCCGGCTAAGTTAGCATCTACATAGCCTGTCAGTATTGTATCTCCATCTTTGAAACAAAGTGCTTTGTTTGTGAACCCAGAGATATCTGAGGATCCATTTGATTGCTTCCCAGTGTACCTTGCCCGGATTATTCATGTACCTGCTAACAGCTCCCACTGCATGAGCAATATCTGGTCTAGTACAAACCATGGCATACATCAAACTTCCAATTGCTGAGGCATACGACACATTCACCATGTGTGCACGTTCCGTCTTTGGTGACTGTTCTTTGGAGAGTCTAAAATGAACACCTAAAGGTGTACTTACTGGTTTAACATCTTGCACGTTGAACCTGGAGAGTACTTTGTTGATGTACTCAGCCTGTGATAACATCAAAGTCCCCGACTTTGTGTCTCTCTTAATCTTCATCCCAAGAATCTGTTTCGCAGCGCCCAGATCTTTCATTCCAAACTGCTTAGACAATTTTGCTTCAAGTTTATAATCTCTTGCATGTATGAGCCTGCAACGAGCATGTCATCAACGTACAACAATAAAATATGAAGTTGTTGTCGAACTTCTTGATGTAGCAACAATGATATGATTGGCATCTGGTAAAACCACTGCTACTCATGAAACTATCGAACTTCTTGTAGCACTTTCTAGGAACTTGTTTTAAACCATACAAGCTCTTCTTCAACCTGCATACCAAGTTTTTCTTGCATGCCTCTATGAAGCTTTCTGGCTGCCTCATATAGATTTCTTCCTCCAAATCACCATGAAGGAAAGTTGTCTTTACATCTAACTGCTCAAGATGTAGATTCTCTGCAGCTACAATTTTCAACACCAGTCTGATTGTAGACAGTTTCACGACTGGAGAGAAAATTTCATTGTAGTCAATACTTTATTTTTGCTAAAAACCTTTGACAACCAATCTTACTTTGTAGCGTTTGCTCCCATCGTGCTCTTTTTTGATCCTGTAAATCCACCTGCTATGGAGTGTTTTCTTGCCTGGTGGTAATTCAGCTAATTTCCACGTCTGATTTGACATAGGCGAGTCCATCTCATCTTTCATGGAAGACTCTCACTTGACTGAATCCTCTACCTGCATTGCTTCATCATAGCACTCTGGTTCACCATTGTCAGTCAGCAACAAGTAGTGCAAATAAGGAGAACAACACTGGGTTGGTTTGGGAATTATGGAGGAACGTCTCAGTTCTGGTTTGCCTGGTTCTTCTTGAACTGCTTCAGGACTGATCTGAACATCATTTCCAGAAATCTCCTCAAACTCAACAAATTCCTTTGTATCAGCTTCGGTGTTGGAGCTACTTGATTCTATGGTTGACATGTATTTGTACATCACATTCTCATTGAAAATGACATATTTGCTTCTGATGATCTTCAGATTTTCATAGCCCTAAAACTGATAACCGAACTCATCACCACCATAACCAACAAAGGCACATTTGTTGGATTTGGCATCAAGTTTACTTCTTTCAGTAGAATTTATGTGCACATAAGAAATGTAACCAAACATTCTTAAGTGTGAAAGGTTTATTTATTTCTTGCTCCAAAATTCCTCTGGTATTCCACCATCCAAGGGAACAGAGGGCCCACGGTTGATCAGGTAAGCTGCAGTGTTGATAGCTTCAGCCCATAGCAATTTGGGCAAGCCGGTATGTATCCGCATGCTTCTGGCATGTTCATTCAGAGTTCTGTTCATGCGCTCTGCTACGTCATTCTACTGTGGTGTCATGGGAACTATTGTCTCCATCTTGATCCCATTATTTTCTCAGAAATCTCTAAATCTACTATTTTTGTACTCTCCTCCATTATCAGACCTCAACCGCCTGACTTTCAAAACAATCTCATTTTCCACCATGGCATTCCATTTTCTGACGGTATCAAAGACTTCTGATTTCTTCTTCAGAAAATAAACCCATATATTCCTTGTAGAATCATCGATGAATGTGACATAATATAGTGAGCCTACAAGAGATGGAACTGGAGATGGTCCTCATACATCAGTATGAACCAACTCTAACTTTTCAGCCTTGGGTGTCTTGCCAATATTTGAAAAATTGACTTTCTTTTGTTTGCCAAAGATGCAATTCTCACATAGTCTGGCATCTATATTCTTTAGATCCGGCAGCTTCCCTTTTCAAAAAAGTTTCATCCCTTTCTCGCTCATATGTCCAAGCCTTTGGTGTTATAGGTTTGATTTTCCATCAGCATCTGCAACTGCAATGATATTCTCTAAATTTAAGGTTACATAGAGAGTACCAGTCCTCTTACCACGAACAATAACGAGTGCTCATTTGGTAATCTTCCATTCACAGCCTGAAAAGGTTGTACTATATCCTTCTCCATCAAGCTGTCCTACAGAAATCAAATTTCTTTTGAGGCCAGGAATATGTCTCACTCCTTTCAGCTTCCAGGTGGTCTGGTTTGGAAACTTTAATCAAATGTCTCTTTTTCCGACGATCTTTAAGGTTTCATCATCAGCTATATGAACCTTCCCAAAATCACCACTGACATAGTTTTCCATGATTTTTTGATATGGGGTGGAGTGGAAAGATGCCCCTGAATCCAAGATCCATGATTCAATCTGTAATATCCTGAAATTCAGGGTCAGTGACTAAATTGTAAATTTTGAAAACTATGTGTTTGATTTCGAAATAAGTTAAAAAGTTCATGGAATTAATAGTAAAGCTGGAAAGTAATAAGGGTATTATGGTCTTTTCTAAGAGAATATTTTTATTCTCTCTTTTTAAGGAATATAAAAACGTGGGAAATGAGGAAATCTATCCAGAGTCTTCTTCTCCAGCTTCTTCTTCTCCCCGTAAGCCTCAGTTAAAGGTGAGTTTAATTTCAGCTATTTAATTCTTAGATTTATAAGTTGATTTTGATTCTTTGAGTATTATATAAGTTTAAGGAAAGCTTATATAAGCTTTAAACATCAAGAATAGAGAATTAAAAAGGAAATTATATAAAGGGTGTAGAAATGAACTTTTGTTATGGAAAGGTTTTTGAAGTTCTAAAGATGGATTTGACTTGTCAAGGGTCTAATTAAGAAGTTAGAAGCAATAGAATTGAATTTGGAACATGTTGAAAATTTAGTGTAATTCTTGAATTATATATGGAGAATAGGATTTTGATGTTAAAGAGGTGATTAATGAATAGAAATGAGTTTGAATATGAGTATGTAAGTTAAGAATAAGAAAGGAAATGATATATGAAGTTATTAAGCTGAAAAGAGTAGATTTTCGGGCATAAAAATGAATTCTGGGCTATGTGCATCGATGCACATTCAATGTGTACCGATGCATCAAGGCTATTTCCAGAAATTTTTCAGTGTGTATCGATGCACAGGAAGTGCATCGATGCACCCATTAAAAATGGAAACATCGAATGTAGTTAGTGCATCGATGCACACCCTTAAAATGAAAACATCGAAGGTGATTGGTGTATCGATGCATGGGTAGTGCATCGATGCACATGT